CTGACGAAGCTTCTCTAGAAGCTTTATCGGTACCTCAACTTCACGATTACTAGGTTAAAATCATTACGCTAAATCTCACCCAAATGCGGGTCTTCTCGGTCGCACAGTGTCCTAAATCTTGTTTTGAAATATCTCGCTTATATCAATCTTCAATTCTTAGTAAAAGGTACTGAATCTAAAACAATGCGAACGTCTTTCAGTATAAAAGCTGATTAAGTAAGTGTACACTTTGAAGACTGACGCGACGCGTATGATGAAGCGCAGTTGAATAGCCTTCCTTGTTTTTCGTTGCTATCCGCTGTTTTTTTTTCTCTCGAGAAAGAAGTATCCAGGACTTTCTCCAGTATTTTATGTCAGTACAATTGAATGGTTTCCTTTCCTAATCGAGTAAGGTCCATACCTGCAGCGTACCGAATAATCGCATATCTAATGTCGTTTTACATTTCGCATATTCATAATTTTCCAGCACTCAAACGTCAGGAGCAAGGAAACACCTGCGAAATGCCGAGTGCTAGCGGCCCATCATTTCCACCGAAAGAGGAGGCTGGTGCCATTGTGTTGGCCCCGAAAAAGAGTCCTGCTACAAGACAAGGAAAAGAAAAGGTGCCGCGATGTTCCCAAGCGTAGTAACCGTTCAAAAAATATGTCCGCAGGTGTCCCTGTTGACCAACTTCTGGGAATTAACGGTGGAACATAAAATTGTCTATCGCTATGATGTGGCCATCTATCTTGGTACTCCCACAAATGAAAGAGCATTCGACCTTTTACGAGGCCCACGCGATGAGTGAGTTGTCTATAGTCTCTTTTGCGCAACAGAGCTCCCAATGTTTATCATGAACCATGCCTTCCAGTTCCGAAATTACAAGAAGACATCGCCTGTGCATGGATGCACTCCGATTTGCTTTGGAATTCCGGAGAATTCTCAGCTTAGGCTCTGCAGTAATTCATGACGGCGCTGCTATGATGTTTTCCTCGGAAAATCTTAGCGCTGCACTGAAGGAGGTGGGTGTGAATAACCTATTGTAGATTGATGAGCCTGGTAGCACTCACCCATTCTAAAATATTCTGGAAATCGCATCCATACATTTTTGCATAACGGCTTTCTTTTGATCTGGTTTTACAATTTTGAAAATTTCACAAAACAAAGATTTCATTACGTGAGAGTATACTGAGCAGACTTGAACGCAGCATCTAAAGTCATTGACAAATCGATCTGTAGGTGTGACTGTCTCAGTCATCAATGTTTTAATCTTGCAAACGCATCTGAAGGTGCTTAATCAGCGAGAAATGAGGTGTGATCGTGTCTGCGTATTCTATAATTTCAGCACAGTGGGGTTCTCATGTTGGACAAAAAGGATTTGCCACCGGGAATAAGAAAGCTGATTTACCAAGTGGACGTCGATACAATTACGATCCAGATTACACCATGTCAGTCAGCAGCTGCCTCTTTTGATATGGCAGATTTACATGCACAGGTGAGTTAGCCGGAGTAAAAGTTATCTCCAAATTAGAATCACTTATAGGGAAATCGAAATTGGGCTACACTTGATCGTTCTTGGAAGCAATTCTATGAGCTAATCACTAATCAGGATGCTGTGATGAGGTAACATACGATTTTCGGACTAATTGTCACTGATAGTCATAGTTGTAGCGGACGTTTCACACAGTTTGGAGCTGGCTCCCTTTATTACTGTTCTCCGTCGAAGGACAGAGTTGGTTTCGGCTACGAAAGATTTGAAGGCGCTCGCAAAGGCATCAAGTAAGCTATTTTT